CATTTTAGCAGCCGTAATACGTACTGGTATATGATCCTATTTGGGCTACTTGCTTTGTAAATGGCTAAAGGTTTGACGAAATGACGGGTCACATCTATTGGTAAGGTAGTGGTAGGGTTTGGCGAGATGATACCACATCTGCCGGGATATGTCATATATAATCTCCTTTTCGAGGCAGACACCCTATTTCATTGTCTGAAGGCTATCGGCCTAGGTTTCAGGATTGGAAAAGCTATCAACCCTCTGGGATTTGATTCAAGAGACTGCGATGACTACAAAAGCATCTTCACAACTCGCGTTATAAAAGGATGAGACAGAGCAAACTCCCTATCATTTGCTTTTGGCATATGGTTGCAGAGTTGCAGCAAACCTGGGATAAGGCAATATGATTGACCCCATGCTCATACTACCAAAAATATTATAACCAGGATTTAAACAAATGTACTGCAAGTTACTGGTAGCTTCAGGCATTTGCATAAACTCCAGGCTATGCTGATTAGAACCCGAACGACCAAATGAAATACAGAAAGTGGAAAGAGACAACTCACATTTTCCCACAATCATATATACACACATTCCTTCCGTAGCTCATGTAGGAACTCCTGTAGGGCTGTCTAGGACAGGGTCCTTCTCGGCTATGAGCGGTTGAACATGTGTCATGGTGGCATTTGGCCACGACACGACAGATTTTTTATTCCCCCTCCCCCCCTTTTTTCTATGCTTGCTGTTTCGCAAAGGCACTCCGTGAGTATTGTTTACGCCCCGTTCTTCCTACGTGGTGTCGACTTCATGGGTCGAGTGGGTTTTGAACTGAAAGCATGGAACAGGCGTGGGGAGTGAGTTATGGAGCAGCAGACTACATCATTATAGTCTATATCTTTCAGGGTGCTTGCACGTCGTGAGTCGCTGACTGAGACGAGCAGAGAGGCGTCTGCAGTCTGCATGCTTGCTGCAGACGGAGTAACTTCGGGTGCGTGAGTGAAATATGCCCCAGCCTGCGAATTGAACAGACAAGAAAGTCAAGTGGTTGCGCGCAGAGGTGAGTGACATGAATTGTTGTGAGCTGGCCTTGATGGCTAGAAGGTGTTGAGTAGAAGCATATCCATAGTAATATGCGTAGGGAGAAAGTGGAGAGAAAAACGAATCAATTACATTGCCCAGTATTCATTCGCTTACCTAGCATTTTTTTCCCATAATGGAAATATCAAGATACTACCGGTAAACGTACAGTGCGTACAGTACTTGCTTGGGCCAAGGTAGCACGTTCAAGAAGCACAGTACATACATATAAGTACATGCTGCATATCTAAATCTGCCTGCGAGAGCACATCCCAGACTCTCCAGACAAAACTGCATTCAGCACACGTCAAACCGACCATTTCGACCCAAGCACAGCATAACGCACCTACTGTAGAGTTTTTCCCGGCCGCGGCCTGCCAATCGCACAATACGGAAACTACATTGGGCAACAATAACCTCAAAATCCACAGAGAATCAAGTCTTCTCCAACTCCGACAAAGGCGATGAGGTTCCAACTGACGAGTATCCACAAAGACAACCCAAGCGCCGTCGATCCCGAAACAACAAAGGATCTACACAGTAAGGACCTTACGAGCTCTAAGGCTTTCGGCGGCCTTTCGGCAACCCACAAATCGACATCCTGGACTCCACCTCGTACTATGAAACGGGGAAAGTAGAGTTGTCTAGTGCCTACAGTACATACATAGTGTACGAACAAAGGGCGCGGACGCGGACTCAGGACAGTAAGCCCCGAACCCGATATCGCCCGTAGTCTCGATGCATGCCGAACCTGCCGTGGTTGGATGTTGTCACTCGACTCATTCCTGACCTGAGTGAGTTCTGAGGGCCTGACAATTGAGCAATTTTGCACCATGCGTCACACAAAATCTCATCACCCGCTCGGCCCGTTACGGCATCATTTCCACTTGATTGCCACCGGATTATTTAGCTGGGGGGTAGGGTACAGGGGCGTGTACGATGACGGGCGTACGGTATTGTCAGAGCCCGAATAGAGAGGCAGACTTCTGAGAAAGAGAGAGCGAGAGAAAGCATTGTTTGTTCTTCCTTCCCTGGTCCGGATCCGAAATGCTTGAGGATCCCGCCTGCATGGCGTCAGACCACCCTTCCATTGGCCTACTTACGCTTTGTGTTTATTTTTGTTGCGTTTATTTCCTCTGTTTGCTACCATGTCTCCTGATCGCCTGGTTTCAACGTTGCCTTTATACAGTAATTACCACAAACAGGATATCCTTTCATGAGTTGTGGTTCTCTTTGACATGGCTGGGAACGACCCCCCCTCAATTGGGTAGTTGGTTAGTAGTTTTGGAGGTCTGTCAGGCAGTTAAGTCAAGTCAGGCCGAGAATGAAGTGGGAAAAATTCAGTCTTTGTTGAAACTAAAAAGAAAAAAGAAGATGAAAACAGAATATTTTAGCACCTCAGCAGCACAAAAAGAATAGTTGAGTTGGCCTAAGACCTCAGATGGGGTCCTGATGAGGTGACTCAGGACTCAGGAGTTCAAAGAGAGGGAAATTTGTAACAATGAGCCCTAACTCTGCGGAGTCAACCCTTGGATCCTCCGCGGAAAGGAAGCCACCAGAACTACGCAATCCAGGGCGAACATTAGATCAAATTTCACCATTCCTAGCATTCTAGATTTTGGCAATCACGTCTGCATCAGTGTGGAGTTGTTTGACTAGGGGGCAGAAGGCATTGTGGGTCCCGAAGCCGGATGTGAAGATTTTCTTTGCCTGGTTAGGTTTTTTTTCTTTTTTAGAGGTACCTCTGTAACCTTAAGTGTTTAGTGAGTCACACCACCGCCCAACACTCTTTCGGCAAAGCCAGCCGGAGTCATACTACCAGAAGTATATATACAGTAGTTCCGCAACCTTCGAATCTCCTGATCTCCCCCCTCTCCTCCCTCTTCACCTCATCTCATCCTTCCCAGGGATGATGGTCACTCCTTTCCTTACCGTTTGATAAATCAAAAGATATCCCGGAAACAGTTCTCTACTGTTTTGTGGTGGGTGGTTGTTTGTCTATTTGAACCTCCCCGGTTTGATCCGCAAAACAATAGAAAACCTTGACATAATCAACCTCCTCCAACTGCGAAAAAAAATATAGGCGAACTGTTAGAGAATGGGCCAGAGGCACAACAGGCGTCGCACTCGTCCGCGCTCTCGAAACCGCAGTAGCAGCAGCAGCAGCATCACCAACATCACCAACAACAACAATCACCTCAACCTCATCGAAGCTTTCTCCCGACCTCTCAATTCAGTTCTACCTTCGGCCTTCGACTACCATGAAAATCCCGCCCCAACCTGGCACCATGGGAATTTCATATGGCAGACTCGACATCGCACGATGAGGCTGGAAACCTCCCACTTAGAGGCGGAGCAGTGTCGACTTTTTGGTGGTGAACCCGGTGACGATGTGGACCTTTGCTATCGGATGCTGGAGTATTTCGGTGGACTTGATTACATCGACTGGTAAGTTGTCTTTTTCCCCTGGCTCTGTTTCAATTCATCTATAGACCATCGAAGCTGACTCGCAACTTCTTAGTCCCCAGCCTCTGAACGCACTACCTGGATGACGCGCATAAATATTCGGAAATCGTCGGCCCTTTTGCAAACTCAACGATTCAGAAGTGTCAATCAGACGGTGGAAAGTAAAAAAGAAAAGCATGAAGAAAAATATCCCAACGGGCATCTCCAACATGGCAAGGATCTTGAAAACAAATTCAATTGAAATCGAATCCCCGGGCCGGGCTGTTCCATCCTTTGCAGCCGCTACAACTCGACGACATCAGCAGGACGAAAGCCAACGGCGATCCTACCAGCCTCCCGAGAGGCCTCGAGAAGCCAGATTTCACTGGGTACTATCCAGGCCAATGACTTGCAGCAATGAAGGATCAGACTTCCCGATGAGGGGGTTATATCTGGATTGGTCTTCTGAACGGCCTGGCCATCTGAACTCTGGTATAGAGATATCTCCTCGCAAGACTGGGTGACGTCGAGAGCAGCGATGTCTTCTAGCTACCGGGCATTGCCGAGATTGTGGGTGGGTTGAGTTCGTGTCTCGGTTCAGCTCCTCTGGATTGTGATGCTTGAGTTCCCTGCCTTCGCAAGCTTGGCTTGGTGCTGGCGTGGAAGTCATTCCTGCACCTCCGTCTACACAGTCTTGGCGAGGACATCTCCCATTCTCACGCCTTTTCTCCTCAGTGCTGGGGCCCCTGGTGCTCGATATACAAATGAGGACATGACAGCTGGACAAAAGTGTTTTAAGCTGGCGTTCTAAAAACAGATGTTTTATCCAAAAATGGGGATCAAAAAAGGTTATGGGTTTTTTATGATGAAATGAAAGCTCAGACATGAATGCTTGTTGTATGGCCTGTTTATGTCAGGACCGGAGATCTGACATTATCGACTCCGTGGTAGATAGAATGCCTTTCTTTTTTTTTTTTTTTTTTTTTTTTAGATGTACACGATGGCCCTTCAGAGGTTCTGTACAGTACAAGATACATTAAAATTAACGTCTTCCCGCACACATTTTGGTCTACATCGTCCATTCAGCTACTCCGTAAATGGCTTGAGTTGACTGAAAAGTGGGAAGAGATACACCTAAAATGAGGCTTGACCCTGAATGCTGGAAGTGGTAGGCGGTGAGCTCCGCCGCCGCCCTGGAAAGGACACGGTCGATCACAAGGCACGACCGACGCCGATACGATAATTAATCGTTCGGAACATGCTCCGTCGTGATCTTCTTCTTCCTCTTCCACCACACGACACTCCTTTACCGTTGACTGGTAGGGAGATCATGACCACCAGCTCAACGACTTAATCTGTGCTGCTTTCCACTCACCCTCTCCTCCTTATCGGACATATTTCCAACCTCCCGTCACATATTTTGAGCCCAGGAGCTGCACTCTGTCCCTCGTTCTGCCCGCTGCGGGCGACCGTGTCCATTGTAAATTTACTGCACCATGTCGACAGACTACAATTATGACGACAAGGTAGGATCTCTACGGGCTTGTGGGCTGGAAGAGAAGCTGACAGGTATTGCCAGGGACAATTCTTCCCCTTTTTCGTCCTCACCCTGACGAGTCTCGTCACTTTCCCTCTGACGTACAATCTCCTCCGGCCGAGCAAGGGTGAGTGCCGGACCATAACATCGCCTCGATGGTGCAACTTGGGATTTCCCGAAACTGATGATTGGCTATTTTGTGTAGGACTGGAGAACACCGCACCGCGGATAAAATCAGACTTCAAGCCCGAACATGGCGACCTCATTGACGCGCAGAAGCGCAGGCGTCTGCGCAAGGAACGCCGGATCAAGCGCATTGTCACCGTCGTGGTGGGCTACGCTGTCATGGCTTGGATGGCATATTTGATCGTCGTCACAGCACGGACAGTACCCAAGATTTGGGATCCGTATGACATTCTTGGTATCTCACGGGTGAGTCACTCGCGAACGGAACGGAATATCCCTGCGAACGGTGCTAACCGGCATTATTTGTCTCTTACCAGAGCGCCGACGAGAAAGCGATCTCCAGGCACTACAAGCGCCTTTCACTCGTCTACCACCCCGACAAGATCCGCCCCGATCCCGCCAAGAATGAGACCATCGAGATGCTCAACGAGCGCTTCGTCGAGCTCACCAAGGCCTACAAGGCATTGACCGACGAGGAAGTTCGCAACAACTACATTCAGTACGGCCACCCAGACGGCAAGCAGAGCATGAGCATCGGTATTGCTCTTCCCACGTTCATTGTCTCGGAAGGCTACTCCAAGTACACCCTGCTGGTCTATGGTGCTCTGCTTGGCGTTCTTCTTCCATACATTGTCGGCCGCTGGTGGTACGGCTCGCAGCGTTACACCAAGGAGCGCGTTCTCGTCGCAAGTGCTGGAAACATCTTCCGGGAATACAGAGACGACATTACCGATGGCGGAATAATCAATGCGCTGTCCTCCGGCGATGAGTTTAAGGAGATGTTGCAAGGACCCCGGTCCGATGCTGGATTGGCGAAGCTTGAGAAGAAGGTCCTGGCGGAAGATCCCTCGTATCTGACTCCCGAGGACCGCGCGGTCATCAAGGGACTCGATGATTCGAGCAGACGGAAGGCGCTAGCGTTACTCTGGGCCTATCTCGGTCGCGTTGATCTGGGAGACGCCACGCTCAATGGAGGTAAGTCAGAACTCTCCCTCAATCAGCTACATGAGATTTACAACATACTGATCCCAACTCAGAAAAATACGAAGCCGCCCCTATCGCCCTTTCACTGAACGAAGCTTTCACGGCCATCGCCCTAGCCTTTGGTAATCTCCGACCAATCCTCGGATCCTTCCGCACCGCACAGCACATCATCCAAGCCGTCGCACCTGGCTCCTCTCCACTCCTCCAGTTGCCGCACTTCACGCCGGAACTCGTGCAGACCATTGGGGGCGCCGACAACAAGGAACACCTCACTGTGCAAAAGTTCATGTCCATCCCGGAAGCCGAGCGCTACAGCCTCACCGTAGGCGCCGGCCTCCTGAATGAGAAGCAATACACGACCGCTATCAACGTTGCCAAACAGCTCCCCGTTCTCGAGGTGTCCCGGGCCTTTTTCAAGGTGATGGGCGAGAAGGTCATCACGCCGAGCAGTCTGGTGCAACTCGTTGTCAAAGCGCGCTTCATCCCCCCCGGTTCCGCTAACGTCCCCGCCCCTACTTCCGCCGACCTCGAGGACATCGATCCTGACGAGGATGACCTCGACGCTATTATGGGCCGCAACGGCAAGAAGACAAAGGTGGTAAACGGCCAGAGGGTCGAAGAAACTAAGTCCGAACCCGTTCAACCTCCGCTCGCGCACGCCCCCTACCTCGCCCGCGACCACTCCCCGCGCTGGCATATCTTCCTGGCCGACGCCAAACAGGGCAAGATGGCTGTGCCCCCCTTCACCTTCACCACATTTGACAAGCCACTCTTCGACCCCGTCACCGGCAAGCCCACGTTCAACGTGCAGACCCTCAAGATGCAGTTCCAGGCTCCACCCCAGGTCGGTGACTTCACTTTTGTGATGCACATGCTCTGCGACAGTTATTTGGGCCTCGACACGAAGATGGAAATCACCCTGCACATCGACGATCCCGCCAAGGCCGCGGCTTTGGACGAGGAAGATGATATCAGTGAGCCTGATGAGGGTGAGTTCCCTAACGAACGCCTCCTTACACAAATGATCAAAGACCGTGAGAACCTAACGATTTCTGAAATCATAGACTCGATAGCCGGCCAAATGCAAGCCCTAAAGACCGGCCAAGCCCCCAAGAAGAAGGCCAAGAAACCTTCGGCGGAGTCTAGCGAGGACGAGGAGAGTGATACCGATGGTGATGCAGGCGATACTAGTGACACGAACACGGAGACGGATATCGATGATGATGATTGAAGGGCATTTTTGCATTAAAGGGAACGTCATAATCGGAGGGGGGTCATGTTTTCCCACCCGTCCCAAGGGAAACAAAGTTAAACATTTAAACCTAACCTATACGTGGGCAGGAAGAAAAGAAAAAAGAAAGTCCTATGATACCTTTAGCTCTCTCCTTTTATTTCCCTTTCTTTTTTTTCCCCTGCTCACCATCCCTTGTCTGAGTTTGATCTTGCTTCGGGGACGGATCTTCTTATCTTCTTTTCAGTTTATTTTTGACCATGTTCAATCTTTCGAGTAAAGAATATACCTAAGTTTTCGTTCATCATCATTGGCATCTATGTGTCTTGTTTTCGAGTGGCATTCAGAGGGCTTGGGTCGTTTTGATTCCAAGGGGATATGGGCTGGACAAGGAGGTCATACCTTTATGAGACTCCACGGCGGTAATCGTCGGACCAACAGCTATTCTTTGCTATTTAGCGTGGGCAGAGTCTGTGCCTGTTCGGCTTTCCAGGCTGACGTGACTACTGACCGGCTGATTGTACTTACGAGTCCTTGAAAATGGCTGATACGGATTCAATTTTCATGCACACAAGCGTTTTCTTCTTTCCTTTGCTTTCTTTGTCTTTTTTAGGGGCGTACTTTATTTCTGCCATTGCGCACTAACCCCTGTACCTGATTCTTTCCGTTCTTTGGTAGGTTGCTTGTAGCTACAACTAGCAAAGCTCACAGTTTCAGGTTTCCAGTCAGGGTAGATTTTTCCAAAAAGGTTAATCTGGAGAACCAAGATTTGATCGAGATATCAAGGGGTCCCCGCACTGTTTATAGCCCCTGTAGCCAAGTCGAGCCTGTTTGAAACTCCTGGTAATGGCTGGCATCTTATGTTGGGTCTTTAGTCCTCGTCTGACTCGATCAGGCACATCAGGTGTGCGGTGTGCAAAGTAAAAAGCATTGGGTAGTGTAAGCGAGGAGTAAACTCCCCCCGAGGTTCTGCTTCACAACTGGAACGTGGAAGTGTAGTAGAAAGGCCCGTAAAGCTTGGTTGTTAGTCTCTAAAAATAAAAGAGGGATTCCTGTTGTAGTCAGAGTATATAGCCATCCCACGTCGTAGAAATAACAACTGACTTGGGGTATATGAACGTGATCGTAAACACTATGCTGAGAATAGAATCTCCAAGAGAGGCAAAGCGACACAGTCAATGGGGAATAGATGATGGGCAGAGTGGCTGCCACCCCGTCTCTGTGCAGTTACATCACGAGATGAAAGGTGTACGCTAGTACGAGGGACAGGGATTTGACAGAGTGCCCAGGTTCTATGATTATCCGCTATGCTAATCACAACGATATGACCAGCTGGTCGCAGGAGGTGGATAGATAGCGTGCTGTTCAGGGACGTGCAAGGCATAATCACTCATCAGGCTCACGGACACGCCGGATCCAATTACAGGTTGTTGCTGCATTAAGCCGACCGGCAGCCCGGAGCTCTTGCCGGAATCTGCGCCAGAGTCGGTACCAACATAGTAGTAACATGGCTGCTCATGAGCAGTCATTGATGGCCCATTATCCGTGCACTTCAGTTGGCATGCGAGGGCCATAGGTTCCAAATGTGGGCGAGGGAATGCCATAGCCTGATAACCTGTGTGTGGTTGATAGCTCTGATACGGCCGTGAGTGGATATTCTGAACTGGCTGCATGTCCCATCTCCACGGTTCGCTGCATTTGGGCGAAGAGAGCACGGGACTACATTCACTTGGTGAAGGCTCAGGAGGGGTGGCAGGTTCGGGTGATGGATCTGTTGTGGCGCTACTATCAGTCGAGGTTGAAAGAAATCGTAAGTACTGGAGGTCTTCGGATTCTTCCTCCGGCTCGTCCGCATTCTCCTCGGCTTGCTTGATTAGACCTAACCGGTCTAGAATAGCGTGCGTTAGAGGATAACCGTCGGGCGCGTCCTGCAGTGGCTCCCCAGGGAAGTCCTCCTTGTTGGCGCAAAGCTTATAAAGCCGCTGAAGTGCTTTGACTACCAGAGAGTGGTGCGACTCGAGCATTTCAACGAATCTAGCCATGTGCCAATCCACCAGTCAGTCCTGGGATCCTTGATAGATAGCATATAAGGGCAGAAAAGGATCGAAACTGACCCTCGTGAGTATACTTTGGTTTGCGTAGCCTTCCTCTCCCGAAAGAGACATGGATGGTTATACGCAGAACAACGGTTGCACGGCTGTTTCCCATCACACTAATATCCCATGAGTATCACCGCAGACCGCAAGCTCGTGCTATGGTAGAGAAAGATGCACACAGGGTCCTAGGAACAACCAATGCTTCACAAACCTTGGTCTTCTTGACTCTGCAACGATCGCATGCCTTCAAGACATGCTTACGCTTGACTCGAAAAACACGCTGGTCATGCTTCTCGTCTGCCAACCCCACGCGGGACTCAAGCTGTGTTAAGGTGGTCACCGCAGCAAGATTATACATGGCATCTGGATAACCAGGAATGGAAGACTTGGGTCGCAAGCTAGGTTGACGAGACATCTTTGCATGGAACAAGCCAGAAAAAGTTGAACCATGTACGGGGGAGTGAGTTGCAAGTGAACGCCCACCAAGGATCGAGGTGGCAGGAAGGGTCTGATATGATAGCTTTGATCTGAAGTCTGACTAATCGAGAGCAAGGCGTTTTCAGTCGGAGGAGGAGGCCCCGGGAGGGGTAGTGGATGTCAGACTGCCGCTCGAGAGGAACAAGCAGGTGGGGGTGCGAGGACCTGACAAGTGACAAAGAGGCTGAGAGACATATCTATCAAATATTATTGATATCATGTCTTACCCCAACGCAGCCCCGCGCACGCATGTCGACATGACGACCCCGCCCGAATCGGACGTATATCGCTAGGACAGTGATGATGGTGACGTGGTGAAGCAGCTTGTCACGATATCAACCGGACCGGTCGCTCGACGTCCTTCAGGCCGTTGTGTGTGGCTGTGGTAGCCTAGCAGGTACACCAGGGAGTCCCCCGTAACCACGGGGGGATTTGGGGGGTTTCTGCCCGTTTGGCTAGTTGACACAGGTGACCAGATAAAAATTCGCTGGCGCGAAACACGCCAGTAGCCAGTATTCACGCCTGGCGACGGTCCGAGCCGTCAGAGCTACCACGGGATGGATACGCATCGCTGCCACCGCATCGCTTGTCGGCACTAACCGGGTAAGACCCTGGTCATTTGGGCAGCCAAAGCCAGAGTAAGGTAAGCCCTCAAGGCTCAACCTGACTCTCTCCCTTTCTCTCTCCCGTAATTCTCGTGGGAGCCTTTTGAAGACCTTCCGGTGCCGGAGGAAACTCGTCCGCTGGCTTAAACCCGCAAACGTGCGTCCTGCTCCGGTTTCCGTGGCTATCATACTTCATCTCCCTATTCTTCAAATTTTCTTTTTGGCCCGATCATAACATAGGCTCTAAAACCGGTTACCGGTGAGTCGGCTCACGGCCAGACAATACCGCTGTAGAATGAATGGTTTCAAACGGGCTGGAGCCTTCAGCATCATCAGCTTATGCCTCATGAGCGACTATCGAACACTTCCATGGTTGCCATTGGTACACGGATGACCAGCGCCATCACACACTCTGACTACTCTCGAGTCGTTGATGAGCGCGTGCCTCGCACTGGGCTCAGCGTTACGCTAAGGTGACAAGCAGCATCGACCCAATAGTATGGGCTGACAATTGCTTTTTCGAGTTTCCGTAATTTTCGGCTGGAATCATTCTCTTTCCCGGCGCCTGTCAAAACAACCAGCCTTCCTAGAATGCTCAGCTTGACGAGCTATAGTGGTGATGATACGTAGGGGGACCTCACTAGACCCCTTCGAATTGCGTCGCGGGAAAGTCGGTACCGTTGCACGCTCCTAGCGTATGGTGCAAGCTGCTCATGTGTTCTAAGAGAGCTAACCGTCTTGAGCTTAAAGTGCAGTGGTGCAGCTTGTCTAAACAAAAGCAGGGGTATCACTTCTAAGGCCAACTCCTTCGGTATCTATGCGTATCTCCATGCTGAGGCCTCGCAGGGCCACTGCTGTTGTGCGAGAGCCAGACAGTAGCAATCACGAACAAGAGTAGAGCTCGCAGCGCATGTCTTCAGGTGATCACCTGATGTAATGTTGTGATGCTGATCAATAGCACCGGCGTGAGCCAACCGTAGCAATAGCATTGTTCGTCATCGAGGCTGCAAAGATTGGTCGAGGGAGTATCGGCCAAGTACGCCTGCATCAACATCGTTTTGGGGAGCACGGCTCACTGGTCTTACAGGAAATACCGCATAATCCGAGTTTCGCAGAAGGTATTAACCGCGCTTAGTGTTGTGCGTAGGATTCAGCGCACTTCCTCCGGTGGACGCCGAAACCAAAAAAAAAGAGAAAAAGAAAAAGAAACGGGAAGGAAAACAATAGGCAAGACAACGCGAAGAAAAAGAGGGGAAAAGTGAAATAGACAACAGAGAATTACAATAGAATGTCTGTTCCATTCTCACTTTTGCCTTGCCGATCCTTCAACCTGTATCTTGCATTGCCGTCTGCGATGGTCAGCAAGGTTGATTGATTAGACAGGAGCATCACATTGGGCTTCCTCGAACCTGGGGTCCAATCATGACCGCCCTCCGCCACCAACCACAATCAATTATAGGAGCTTTTGGGGGGTGATTCTGTGATATAGGGCAAGGAGACCTGCGTCGCGGGCTACTGATTATTTCCCCTCTCTTTGCCACATTTGGTGAGAGGGGGAAGGGAGGGGCTCGAGGATCTTGCGTGGGTGCGAGCGAACCGCATGAGTTAGGTGCAGCAAAGGCCCGTCCACCCTGCAGATACTCGCTCAGTCACTTGCAAGAAGCGGTGATTTTGTCCGTCTGGTGAACTATACTTTGTCTCTGCCCCGCTTCCTGTGGCCGCTGAACAATGATGAGCTGCAACTGAGATAACCTTCCGTCACAGTTTTGTGGCGCAGTCAAGCGACGGGGATGAAATGAGCTGCCTCGATTTTCTATTGTGGTAATCACCAATCTCAACATGGGTATATTTCTGGCCCTTCTTGGATTCTAGTCAGGCAGATGGTTTCGGGCGGGGGATAGAGCCAAGATTGGGCGAATAATTAATGGGGGGGGGGAGGGAGAGAAGAAGAGCATCAGACAAATTAGAGCATGAGAAAACGTAGCGAAAGAAGAGGAACAAGACGATGAAGATGAAAAAGAAGAAGAAGAAGAAGAAGAAGAAGAAGAAGAAGAAGAAGAAGAAGAAGAAGAAGAAGAAGAAGTGGAAGGAGAAGAAGAAGAAGAAGTGGAAGGAGAAGAAGAAGAAGAAGTGGAAGGAGATGATGATGATGAGAAAATGAAAAGAATGGATCCATTTGGAAGAGAGAAAGCCCAATTAGGAAGGATCGTGACTATGCCAGCCCGCGGCGGCGGGGGCTCCAGCTCCACTGCCTGCCCACAAATAAAGCTGATACTGAGCTCGGAGAGTCGGAGCATCACTACGCTCAATCCTCTTTTCACCTCTCCAAAGGAACCCGAACGGGCACCATACCGACCAGGTCTCATGATGATCTTCACGGCAATGGAAACAGCGGCCTATATTGTACTGTACATCTCGCTCCATTCATTCATTCTACTCACTAGTTGCCAGAAAAGCCCTATCCTGGTATCACCTGCATTGCATGGCATAACCTAGCTTAATCTCAGTTCTTTGCGCTCTTGGAAAAGACGGGCCAAGCCCTCTTCGCAGAAAATGAAAGAGGAGGAATTGAATACCTTGCGCCTCTCCAGATCGAGTAAGATTGCCAGCCGAAGCAAGCAAATGCCATGAGCGGTTGGTGGGGAGGAGTAGTGCTGACGTCTTGAATGCCGACAATTATTCCCAAGGCAGAGGAGGTCTCCCACCTAGACAGCAGCCTTATACGCGAAGAGCTTAACCCATCCTTTAGGCGTCTACACAGCCTAAAAACGCACCCGCCCTCAAATAGTCATTGCCAGACGACCCTCGCGCACCGAGTGTGGACTATGTAGGCTCGAACATCCCTGCGCGACCCGGCGTTATACCATAGTAGTAAAGGAGCCGATGACCTTTCAAGTACTCCAGGGTCATCTTACCAGGGAGTAAACAATGTCGATAGTCGACGAGGAGGATCAGCCGCTCCGATGAGGCCCGGATACTCGCGGCGGTGTCCCATTACCCCGAAAACTCCTTCAGTTGAGCTCAATGATCAGATGACCGAGAGATGGAACACATCCTCAAAGTCCATTGTCGTTCGCCGCATGCCACTCATACTCGGGATGTAGTAAACAAGGAGCAGCTAATCAGAGGAAGAGTCGATGAGGTGAAGATGCATGGCATTGTACTCGACCAGTTAAAACAGGCTTGAGAAGTGACCATGGGTTCTATGTAACACATCAAATATCTGGGGGGTGGAAGAAATCAATGGAAAGAGTATACATTGGAAACTACATGGATTGTCAAAGATAATCACCGGTTAACAAGATCCATTGGCTTACTCATTTTGTCCCACCACCCATGACTACTACTTCGCATACTACCGCGCTCAGGTGTTTGCTCCTCACCATCTCATTGTCTTTACGTTGGTGATGATCACGAGTGGCGACCAGGAAGAACAATGCTAGCCTCACCGGTTGCAAGAATGTCGAAGCTCTCGTCACTGGCTGCGGTTGTGGGAGGGCTCAGACCCGTGCTTTCGACGGAAGCAAAGGACTTTTCCTTTTCGAGCAGGGACAAGGATACACCTGCGTGCTTCGTTTGCCAACTCTTGTCACCAATCCACTCCAAGCCGTCACCCGCCCCGCGGACACCTGCCTTCCGACGAGCCTTCTCCCGTTCGAGAAGAGGGAGGCTTTCTTCTGTAGCAGTTGACTCACCAACGGACAAGCTCAGATTGCGATGGTGCCACTCGCCCAGAAACATTCCATCCGGGTCAACATCTTGGCGCACCTTCATCCATTCATCCATGCCGCCACCGTACAGCTGCCTTAATTCATCGCGCGTTGCGACGAAGTTCTTGGCCCAGTGCGGTCTGGCTCCCATCTCACGCATGAGCCATTCAAAAGCCTCGTAGTAGCGAGCCGTGCAGGGGGGATCCCGATGGTAAGGACGATAGAGAGTCGCATTCAGATACAAGGTCGGACCGTCAGAGCAACTGGGATCAAGGAATGGGCGGGGGTTCTTATTAAGTGTAGAGTCGGCAACTCTGACTTCGATCGGACAATGCACCCAGAGTCCGTCGACAGAGAATGGAATACGTGCCGTTTCGACATCGCCGTTTAGCCAAGCAGAAAGCCGGGTGATAGCCTCCGGTCCCTTCTCCAAGGGAAGAGCCCACTCGTTAACGAATTGCGAGTAGAGACAATTCATGAGCAGACCGTCGCGGGCCGGCTCCACGGCTTCCGTGACCTTGGTTTCTTCCTTGAATCCATACTGCAGGCCGAAGACAAACCACTCGACCCATGGCAGGATACGAGGGAAGTAATTGGCCAGGGCTAGCAGGTTGTGATAAATGTGGTAACCGACGGTTTCCCCATAAAACGTCTTCGGTGGAGGGCGCACCGGAAGATCGGTCTTGTCTGCATGCCAAACGACCGCGCTCTTCTCATACGGCATCCACCAGACCCGTACGAACTCATGCGTGGTCCACAGTCCAGTCGACCATTCATCCAGAACGCTCGAAAGCTTCCGGCGGGACTGTCGCCATGCGACCTTGAAGGTGGGCTCAGCTTGTAACGTGACCTCGACAATGATGCCCAGGGCACCGAGGGAGATAAGGGCGGCGCGGAAGAGGTCGGGATTATTCGTTGGACTGCATCGCACCACTTGCCCATTAGCCAGCATTAGTGTCAGGGACACAATACATTCCGAGATCAGACCATGCTGTAAGGAGCTCCCATGTGTGCCCGTCGAAATGACTCCCGCAATCGACTGACTATCGATGCTACCCAGATTCGACAAGGTGAGGCCATGCTTCTCTAACTGCTTTCCTAGGTCTCTCAATCGTATTCCAGCCTGCACGGTGACCACGCCGGTCTCAGGCGACACCTCCAACACGCGACTGAAATCATCGAGGTTGACCAGCCATGAGGAGGTGCAAGTCAGATCCGAAGGGGAGTGGCCACTACCAACGGTGACAAGACGACGGCGACAGTGACGGGCGAGGGTGACGAGTTTCTGGATCTCAGCCAAAGATTGCGGACGGACGTAGAGCTCCGGTCGGGAGTAGAATGTCCTGGCCCAGGTGTGATGCAAATGATCGGTGGTGGCGCGAAAGGGCACGGCGGGATCGAGCTGCGAAAGTTTGTGAAGGATAGCGGGGTCCATGGTGGTGATGATGATATTGACGGTGGTTATTCGGTCCGACTGAGGCTCAATCAAGGCATACTGACCTATACAGAGAGACGCTCAAGTCTCTCACAACAATGAAGAGAGTGAAGAATGAGTGTGTGAGTGAGCGGAGAAAGATGGGAGGTGAAATCAGCGCGACACTGAGGGGCGAAAATTAAAAGAGCGCGCGGGGTGGAAATTAACGGCCGATGACGAGCCGCGGTGGGTCGATTGCCCATCACAACTTTCTTATCTTTATCTTTGAAGGTAAGTAACTAAAACAACTAACTTACCAATCATCTTCTGTCGTTTGATTGCCGTTCTTCCGCATTCTCTGGAATTGAATATGTTCGATCTACACCCCTCTCTTAGGTGAATAGGATTACCATAGATGCATCCAAGCAAGCCTCATGATCCTCTCTCATCAACCAGTACAAGTACAGTAAGCACGCAGTCCTCTGATAATGCCAAGCTGGTTTGAAAACTTGAACCTAATACTGTACACTGACACATACACACTTGCCGTAAAAAAAGGTCGCCTTTTCACTCCACTGTCCAGACTTTCTATGTTCACACCTCCATCACTTCCCCTTCAAAACTTGTTGCCAGGAACCATTCCGGTGCGGACCCGTATATGCACGATCTAAATGCAAAGACGCTATAATCAACGACAGACAAAACGAAAGAAAGAGGGATACCGAAGACAAATCAGAGTATGATGCTCTTGAAAATATCGGAAGAAGTAATGGTGGTCAGAATTCAGGGGTTGCGAATCGCCTCGATTGCCGCGTTCAAAGGCAGCACTTGCGGAATACTTTGCCACGAGCTCGTGTTCCACTTGCGAAATACACTGCTACAGCTCTCGGGAACTCCGCCGAGGGAGACGAAGGTCTTCGGGATGAATGGTCGATCCTGGAAAGAGGCCGCTAGGATGCTGTATTCATGCGCAAAATAGACCGCTGAAGCGAATTCAGCTGCGCGGGCTGAGGCTTGTTCACCCACAATCCTGTCAACATATATTTAGCGTGCGACCTCGAGTCGTTCGGATCCCGGAGGCAACTTACACATAAATCTCAAAGTAGGTGTCAAGGACGTAAATTCCTTTGGCATTGATGTCCTTCTGACAAAATGGATCCACCTCTTGCACGGTATCGTTTGGACGAGTGATTGGGGAGGGTGAACCGGCTCGACGCATCCAGAATCCAGCCCGCTGCTGACCAAGCTCATGGTCCACACGAAGCAGTCGCGTGCGATACCGGTCAAGCTTGGGCTTCAGTCGCCAGTCATTGGCGCCCTTCTCATTTGCTGTCCTTTCGTACTGCGGGAAGACTTCAAAGAAGCTATCTGGCTCTTCTCCTTCGCCTACTTCCTCAAATTCACCCGTGAGGCCAAGATCCATCCCAATCAAGCGAGCGGCACCAATTTCTTCTGCCGAGCTGCCGAGTCCTTTCCAGAGAAACAACTTGCCGAACATAGCGGAAATCACGAAAGGATAGCCGGAGCAAAGGCTACTAGGCGAGAAGTTCACTTCATCGAACACCATCTGTCCTAGGTGCTTCCGTCCACATAGCATGAAAATAGCAGAGGAACTGGATCGTGAGCTAGAACCACGACGCGTGATGAGAATGCCACCTAGAGCCTGAATGAACCGCGCTGGCTCCTTGCCTTGCTTGATAATTTCGAGCTTGCATCCATTTTCCTTCGCCATTCGTCGAGAGAAGGGCTGGGCATCGTCGACAGCCGCATCGGGAACGTCATCACCACACCAGAGGTGGATCTCAGAACGCACATTACCGTCTGCCTCAAACATATGCACGCACAAGTACATGCTTCCCTCGTACAGAATATACTCTTGATTGACGGGAAGATCTTGCTTCTTTCCATCACCTGTGATCTCCCATATTTGGCGTTTGAGGGTTCTGATTTTCGTTTCGTCGCCGCCTTTTCCCAACAGCACCTGAGCATCGACATCCACGCGATCACTTGATTTAGGTACGGGCCTGAAGAAAGTGGAAATTGCTTCCCATGATTCGTCAGCCAAAGGGACAAGCGAAGCTGATGATCGTGGCGAGGAGAATCGATCGACGGAGGCTCGAGAACCCTTGGGAGGAACCGGGGGTGAAGGTAGGGCTTTGTCTCGAGAAGAAGCACCTTTGATCCCTACAGCAGCAAAGTAGGATGCGGGCTTTTGGTACGGTGCGGGTGATGTTGAGCCCAGGTTCTCCTTAAAACTGGTTCTCAAGGGCGAAGGGGAAGGTGACGAAAAGTGAGTCGGGACGTTCCTCGTAGGGGTGGATGGCAACGGTGCGGTTTTCGGAGGCAAAGGGGGTTTCCCGAGGAGAGAGCTTCGCAAGCTGGCGACAAGACCAGTACTCTTGCTATCTTCGGAGCGAGGAGAATCCTGGATTGGTGGTGTTGGAGGCTCGGTGCTCCGGTCATTGGGCGACGACAGGGATTGTTGATCGACCAATTGCGGCGTGACTCTTTTGATATTTATAGGCTCAATAGATAATGGCGAAACAGGCTGGGTTGCTCCTGCGCCTTGGGACACAAAGGTATGGGAATCGGCCTCCGTGTCAGGAAGTGGCCAACCACTAGAGACGCCCACGGATTGTTCAACATGTGAAGCGCCTAGTATGGGGCTTTCAAAAACCGGAAACGGCGACCGACGTTCCTCCGCAAGCCTAGCTTGCTCCTCTTCCTCCGCAAGCCTAGCTTGCTCCTCTTCCTCTGCGAGCCTAGCTTGCTCCTCTTCTGCAAGCTTAGCTTGCTTCTTTTCCTCCGCAAGCCTAGCTTGCTCCTCTTCCTCTGCGAGCCTAGCTTGCTCCTCTTCCGCAAGCTTAGCTTGCTTCTTTTCCTCCGCAAGCCTAGCTTGCTCCTCTTCCTCTGCGAGCCTAGCTTGCACCTCTGCGAGTCTCCGCTCCTCTGCGAGTCTCTGCTCCTCCGCGAGTTTTGCCTCTTTCTCCGCAAGCCTAGCTTGCTCCTCTTCCTCTGCGAGCCTAGCTTGCTCTTCCGCGAGCCTAGCTTGCTCCTCCGCGAGTCTCTGCTCCTCTGCGAGTCTCTGCTCCTCCGCGAGTCTCTGCTCCTCCGCGAGTCTCTGCTCCTCAGCAAGTCTCTGCTCCTCAGCAAGTCTCTGCTTCTCCGCGAGTTTTGCCTCTTTCTCCGCAAGCCTAGCTTGCTCCTCTTCCTCTGCGAGCCTAGCTTGCTCTTCCGCGAGCCTAGCTTGCTCCTCCGCGAGTCTCTGCTCCTCAGCAAGTCTCTGCTCCTCAGCAAGTCTCTGCTCCTCCGCGAGCCTTGCCTGCTTTTCCGCGAGCTTCTGCTCCTCTGCAAGCTTGTCTTCATAAAGTTTCTCCGCCGCGAGCTTCTCTGCTTCTAGTCTTCTCTTCTCACTGATTCTCTCGTCTGCGAGTCTCTCCTCGATATCTTGTTCATTTGCAACCCCTTCTTTAGGGTGTTCCCCCGCAACCTCTGTCGCTACGGCAAATTCGTTAGATTCAAATGGCGTCCCAATGGGCAGACGCCTTTTTGGACCTCTTGCCCGGCCTTTCGTCATGTGCGTGAGGGGGGCCGGGGTTTGTGGCTCCTGCTGTTCTGAGCTTCCCGTTGAGAGGCTGCTGGTGATGGAGAGGCCCGTGGCAGGGCCGCTGCCAGTGGTTGGCGGCCCGCGAGACAGAAGTCCTGCTAAGGCAGGATTGATTCGGCCTGCAAGTTTACTTTTAGCAGCGGTACTCTCAGCCGCAGCAGGCGCATGTGGAGTCTGGTCCAGTTCCACCGGAGACAGAGAACGCACCGACGACCGTACTGAGGATTGCACGGAATGCACCGAGGAACGCACCGATGAATGAACTGATGAACGAGCCGAGAAGACGTCTCTATGGCCCTGAGCCTCCTCTTGACCTTCTGGAGTCGGCAGATCCGCTTCGACGTGCAGGGGAGATTCCACTTTGTTGTAATTGACCTCCTTTTCAGCTGCTTCGCTCTCTGTTCCAAGTTGATGTACGTCAAAGCTAGCCTTCGAGGTCTCAGATAGTCCGACGGTGTCTTCAAGATCGTGAGTCACTTCGTTGCTAAAATTGGTATCCGGCCGAATAGGAGAAAGGTTCAGAGCCTGGGGTTCTAGAGACATAGGCGGCTCATAAGGTGATAGCGGCGAAAGTGGCGAGCGTGGAGATGGCGCGTCAGTGGTGGATAGATTGCTTCTAGAACTGATAGACTTGGTCAAGTTGTTCCTCTTTGCAATCGCTTCTGGGACGAATTTCATGGGAGCGTCCATTTCTCCGGCAGTGTTTCGCCTAGTTGAGCCCCCATTAACTTTGATTGCTTCCTTCTGTTTGAGTATGCTTTCTTTCAAGTCGTCAATCTTTGGCGATTTCTGAGGACCGTTCGTCGTACTGAGCGCCGCCTTGCCTTTTAGGATATTCTCTTTCAAATCATCGGGGGGTACATAGGTCGATGCCCCCGCCCTCTTTAGCTTTCCGAAAACGTTCTTGAATTCTGGCTCCTCTTTAGGCGCTTCATCTTTGACAATTTCGCGGCGTCGGAGGTTGGCTCGGAAATCGATCACAGCTGGTTGTGGCTTGGGCCTGTTCAAAAGCGGGTCGCGAGTTGGAGATGGAAGAGGCATGTCGATTACGGTCTTGGTAATCGGGCTTCGATTCGACAATCTCAATGCATGCTTCATAGTACTGTCTCCTGCGCCTTCTGTTTCTGTATCTGCAGTGGTGAGGGGCGGGACTTCCACACTCTCCTCCAGAGGTGCTGCTTGACCATTGTCTTCGGGGCTGTGAGCCGGCTGGCTGTCATTGGGCAAAAATAACGGCCCGTCCTTGAGTTGACTTTCGACTACGCTGTCCTTCAGCTCATCAGGAGGAGTTGCGACATCATTAGCGGGGAAATCATCAGGCGGTTCGAATGTTGCATGGTCATGTTTAGGTTCAGCCGGCTCGCTGTCTTTTGGCTCGGCCTCTGGAATGTTCCCATGAGGAATGAAATCAAGGCCGGGCTCTTTCAAAGTAGAGGACAGATTGGTGGTGAAATCATCTGGTTTGGCCTTGCCCGTATCAGGTCCAGCGAAGAGGTTTGGAATCCCAGACACGCTTGATGATTTGGAGTGAGTGCCCGGAGCAGCCGTTCGCATGAGCCCCACGGGCGTAACTTCCTTAAAGCTGGAAGTCCGTCCCAGATCAACACTGCTCCGCAACTGCCTCTCCCTAACCCATGACGGTTGTTGAAAGGACTGTTGCCTCTTGTGCTTCGGCGAGTCAGGAGGGCGATTCAAGGCACTTTCCAACCAGCTGGCTTTGGTAGGACTCCATCTCCTAGGATCCATGGTCCTGGAAACTACTGGACTTGAAGAAGGCAAAGAACTTGAGTCTGGGCCCTTTTCAACAGAGCTAGCCGACCGCGTGTGAAGGCTGAGAGGGGGCCTAGCGGCCCCCTCGTCACTCAGTGCATTGCTCTCGTGTTTCTCGGGAATGGGAATTGGCGGGGTTGCCGGTCGTCCACCGTCTCTGGCAGGGTCTATGATAGTTGCCTCGCTATGGCTCGAACCAGGCCGGTGACTCGATGTAGGCCGATGGCTGGAAGTCGGCCGCTGAGATGAAAGACTTGGAACTTCGCGGCTCAATCGATATGATGGCGAGTTTGAAAAGGTCTCATTCCCGACGAAGCTGTTACGGCTGCTGGCAACCGAACTTGGCCGGCTTAGACCCGATGGAAGCTGGGCACTCCATCTTTTCGACACACTATCGGATCGCTTCATCATGGCGCTCTGCACAAACCCGCCGAGACCCTTTGTCGGTGACGTCGACCGTTCCGGAGAAAGTCGCCTTGGAGAAGGAGGAAGAGACATCTGATCCTCTAAGACCTCTTCGGGCTTACGGGGCTCCAGCTTCTGCGCGCTTAACAGAGGCAGCGGAGAGCCGAGTCCTGTCGCGGTAGAGACAGAAGAGACGCTTGAGTATCGGTGGCCCAAACTACTTTCTGCAAAGGTCGAACTGGCTCTTGATGGCGATCGAGATCGTCCCTCAACGCTCTCTATGTGATCAGTGTCCTTTCTAGGTTCTGGGGTGGATTCCTTTTCGGCTTCTTGGTGCTTGAAATTGGCTTCGGAAACCGGTGTCCGTGGTCTCTCGTCCTCCACATGTTTGCTGCGGGTTGGGGAAACGCTTCCTTCTGTCTGGCGCGCCCACGAAACATCCTTGAATGTGGGTGAGGCTGCGAATGAGTTCCGATTCACATTCTGCTCATCCGTCGAAGCTGTGGACAAGGCTCGCCACCTGGAAGGAGATGATGAAAAAAATTGTCTGTTGCTATCACGGGATGTTGGCCTTTGCTGCCAGGACAGAGTCCCCGTTCTACTCCGTAAAGGTGAGAAGGGTTTAGATGGTATCTCGCCATCGGCTCCGGTCATTGTGGATCCTCTCCGGCCGCCGTCCGTGGTTGATGTGTCATCCCCGATGGATTCGGGTCTGCTGTCCGAGTCCCGACTCGGGGTATGGAGAGATGGTCCAAATTGTTCGGGAGGTTCGATCGCACGGTGGCTGAGAGTCGAGGATATGCTCAACCGAGCCGCATCAAGAATGGGGGAATCTTTTGTGGGAGAAATCGATCGCGCCCGCTCTGTGTGAGGACCATGCACAATCAGTGTTCAGATTTGCCGGCGGCGAATGGAGAACAATGAAGAGGGGGAATAAACATAATTATCAAGGAAAGAGATTACTTACCAGCTCTTCGGGCCTGTCTCTCTTTGCGTCCCTGCAGAATCTCCTCCTCCAACTTTTTCGTGCGTTCCTCATCCTCCTTATCGCGCTTCTCTCCTAGTTCCCGAATGCGCAGAAGAAAGTCATTGACATCTTCCGAGCTGTCGATGTCTGTTGTAGAAGCCATGGCTCGCTAAATGCCAGATATGACCGGCCAAGATCAGAAGGAAGGTAGCTTGAGAGAAGAAAAAGTGGGCAGAGGGTCAAATTGTCCGCTAAAAAGAGAGGTTTCTTTCAAACTGAACTAATACCGGGCAACGAGCTAAGGACGGTGGGGTTTTTCGTGCGAGGCGATCAGGAGGGGAAAGATCGTGCGGTAAAAGAAGAACAAGGGGGGCGGGGAAGAGGAGGGGGGCTGGAATATTCAATGGGCAATTAATTGTGGTCGTGACTCGTGAGTCTGTGAGGGTCGAAGAGAAGGAGAGAAAGAGGTGGATGAGGGAGGAGGGAATCAAGGGAAAAGAAACCCCCGTGGCTCGCGGCTCGCCGCCCTGAGGCGAAGGTCGATTCGCATCCGACGAGGAATGAACTACGGAGTACTCTACTAACGTTAATACTCACTTCACTCACTCCTCATCCATCTACCCACTTGGGTCTCTCCGCTACTAATTCCTCACCTGGAAATGAGTACTGGTGAGATTTGTCCGTTAGACGCCTGCCTTATCACTCGACTTGGTGGACCCAAACAACAGCTGGGAAGCCCATCCCATTAACAACAACAACATCATCATCAACAGCATCAGCAGCATCATCATCAGAGAAGGAAGCCCGACGCCCATCAGCTGCCGTTGCCCCACAACTGTTTTAGCTGGTGAGGCGCATGAGAGACAGCATGCATGCACATCAGTACTTATTATAATCACAGTGTTCCCATTCCCAAGGGAACAAACCATTATGCTAATGATACTTTGTCGTTCAGGGGACTTTCTCAAGCCTTTAATCAATTTCTTGTTCTTCCAAAGTCAACACGTTTGGTGTTTTGATCTTTCTCGACACGGAAGATTGTTTACTTGTTCCCGAGTTCGGGTCTTCGCGGTGGAGCACACCCACCCTCAAAGCGCACCCTCCGTTCACTCAAGAAGTCTGCAATCCGATTATTGTACGGAGGACATACGTACAGTACAGTACGTACTTGCTAAGTAGTTGCGACGAGAGAAGAAGGTCCAGTAAACCTTGGGACAGCCATTATCCCTGAATCTCGATTCCGGTCTTGCTTCTCCCTGTGTCGTCAGTAGTCCGGATGGGGATCCCCGAAACCCAGATCCACGGATAAATCTGCGATGGTTCAAGGATTTTCTGTCACTGACGCGGCCGGCATTCCAAGGCTGCAGCTGCAGCGGCGGCTCTCCCCAAGCGAAAGTCTGCCGGGCAAACCAAACCGCTACTGGCCCATCATCCATTGACGTAAGATACACTAATTAAGTACACACGGTCAACCACCACTGGTTCCCGCTCTGCTATTTCCAGCAAAACCTGGCCCTTTACCTTGTTCGATAAAGGTCCATTCAAGACCGTGGACCCTGACAGAGCCGACGAGTGTTTGATCGTCCATCCGAAACTGCCGACAAGGCCACACTGAATCAGCCCCGAGCAAGGGAGCCGCAATTTACGCACACACAAAAGTCAAACCCTTGTCTAGGATGTCCTCGCTAATGCTCCATCCCGTTGTACATAGAAGCTAGGGCTGCATGTCATTTCGAATTGAAAATCCTCTTATCCCTGCAGGGTCAGTGATGTCCAGAGCGAGAGGGGCTTTCACAATCAACCAATAAGCCCAACCGTGGTCGGGCCTCGCTGCCGCGTGGGAGGGTCAGAAAAATATATTAGGCTGCCAGCCGGAGATTACGGTTGGTGAGCCTCATCTCGTGCCTTTTTGGATAGAGCCGGCGCGTAAATAAGGGATCACACTGGTTTGCTGTAATCTCGGTAGGCTAATCGAAGCGGTAGTACTCACGGTATTATCTGGAATTAAAGATCGAGGGCATTTTCCTATCGCAATCATCGGCGGAGTGCAATTAGGCAATCTAGCTAGCTAACCTAGTATAAGAAAAGTCGATCCTTGGCATCTTGCACCACCCAGTCCAACCCCTCGTGTAGATTTCTTCCTGTCATTGCACTGCACGGCAATATCGTCCATTTGTGTGTCTTGATAGAGTCCAAGCTCAATCGCTGTATTGCGTTCTCAGTCAGAGAAGGGACCCCGAACGTAAATCGGTCGGGAAAGAGCAATGAAGTTGGGTAGGAGAAAATACTCACCTCACGAACCTCTTCCTCAGTCATACACCCATCAACATCAGTTTTATTGAGAAAAACTAACAGACTCGCCCCCATCAACCGCTGTATGCGAAAATCAATCAGCCTATGCCGCCTCAGAAGAAGGCCGCGGGGAAACCAAAAACGAAAAAAAGGGTACCTCTTCCAAAAGCAAACCCGCCAGTTCGGTTCGACAATCCTCCACGCGAAGGCGGTCGGTCGCATCAACAACCCAGACTAGGGTATCGGTCTTTTCAAAATAATTCTTCCAATAAGAACGAAGCGTTTTCTGGCCTCCGACGTCCCCTGGAGTACCTTAGGTTAGTTGGCGGGAAAAAGGTAGGACGGAGCGGCTGAAGCCTCACAAATGTTGAGACGGTATCTTTTCTCCCCCTCGGGGTGTCAGCTATCGGGTACTCTTTGCTGGTGAGCTGTGTAAAAATGAACGAGATTTACCCTTGGAATTCGATGGTCTTGATGATGAAGCCCAACGTTGGACTGACGGTGGTGACATCTTCTTTCATGACTTGTTTGACGATGGTCGTCTTGCCGGCGTTGTCGAGACCGCTGGGGTGGTGGTTTTTGCGCGTTAGCATTGCATAGATTATTATTGTGGGAGTGTTCGACAGCCTACAGCATGAGAATCCGCATCTCCTTGTCCTTCAGCCGGGCTTTGCGTAGAATAGACAACATCTTGGCGGGTTGTCTGCTTGATCGGTGGTTTGGCGTGTCTTCCTATGGATTTTGAGGGATGTTGGAGGTTGTATGCACGGGTTGGACGAAGTTGTTGTATAAGATAGTAGGCGAGCACACAACTCTGCCATACTTGGTACATAATAATGCATCGGCAGTACACCTGCACCACCCAAACCAATATTCTAGTTCCCTCTAACCAACCTCAGGAACTCGATAACAACCATCAATAAGTTTTAGATATGTCAGATCAATACCTATGAGCTATTGCTCTAACCGATGTAAAGCTGCACGTGACCGGCGATCTATATCGTTACGTTTCTAGAGTCAAAATAAAAGATTCCCAATGCATAACCTCCTACAAGGGCAATGGCCCTTGCAGAGCTTTCAAAGAAGATAAATGCCGTATCATATTCTCATCCTGATTTTATACTATTAGTTCAGGGCTGTTTTTCTGTGCCGAGCTTCGCATTTACCCACCCTAGACTCCGAGATACGCTGTGTAGAAGTTCACAATTGCCCCGACAGCGGACTTGAATATGCGCTTCCCATAGCTGAATATTTGAGCTACTACTCGCATAGTTATAGCACCAAGGATCTCGTATTCAGTTATAAGTATGCGATGGAGGCCCGTACTCAGGGAACCGAGACAGACCAACGGACCAATGTCATGGTAATTTGTTGCAAGATCCTGCAACACAAAAGCAAGGTGATGAAAATGCAGCCTGGCAAGAAGGGAATCAATTGATCATTATCCGATTCGAATATGTTTGCCGAGCCGGTGATGAGACTATTCACATTACCCCCAGAGCAGGAGGTTCAACAGAGCAGCAAGTTCGATTTCTGGGCAAAGCCCACTCCAGATCAAGACGAACACCTTATATTTCTCTTTTCTACCATGGACCAGTCCCCGCTTCTGATACTGCAGACTGAGTTTTCTCCTACGAGTGAGTAGAGCGTTGTAACACGTGACTCCCAGCTAGAATTCACCAGTGACACCTAGCCCACACTAAAATTTGCATGAGATAACTTTAGAACAACTTATCTTGCATGCCATGATCAGAGAGAGACTGAAAGGCAGAAAGGAGGAGAGAGTCTCTGCAACAAGACTATCTTACCATGTTAGTCTGCAAACCACACAGACTGACAGATCAACCGTCGACTCTTTCCGTCCTCTTCTTCGTTTTTTTAGAAACTTGTAAGAGATCTTCCAAGTTTACCATCTATCCTTTCTTTTCTATACCTGAAGAGTGACACGCATTATCTTTGGATATTTCCATTATTCAATAGGAGATAGAGTGATACACCCTTTTATTCAAACAAAGTCTTTCCTTGTCCATGGTCTTATCCTGCAAGAACGTTTTAGAAGACCTAGCGTCTCTTGTCTTCTGAACCAAGGTTCTGTCTTTTCAGAATTTCAAAGTAAGCATTCGTCTTCATCATCTGTATCTCGTTTCTATATTGACATGAGTTAAAATGGGAACAAGATAGAACTATTCCTAGCAGTGATCGCAGAAACCACAGACCCTTGACTTTTAGAAGTAAAGTTTCTTGCCTTCATTAGTCGCGTCACTCACCTCTCATGACTTCAAACACAAGAGCCATTATCTCTCATAGCCATCCACAGTGACTCATTGACTAGAATACTGAACAGAAGGCTTTCGCGCACCTAGGTAAATGTCCAACCCATCGAGTCCTTCTGGCTTATAATTCATATAGCAAGCAGGCTAACATTGCGCCCTTCCCACAGAGACTAAGAAACAAAGTCATCCAAAGCAGAATGGCCAGTCAGAAGAATAAGGAAAAAAAGCCGATAAGGGGCAGTCGCACCACACCTCCTTCTATGACAAAAGGCAAACGTGCATTCAGAAGTCCATCCGATGCACCACAAGCCAGCTCCTGGTGGGACGGCGACCAAAAGAATAGTGAGCCTGATAGAATGACACCCGAGACTTCCGAATATGGAGCGCCTCCACGCGCACCATCCGATGTGAGAGCCGAGCTCAAACGCCTGCAAGATGAAATTGTCCTAAAGGCACATCTAAACCTAGATCGCATCGACGATCACGAGCAGGTAGCTAGCCCCGAGTTGCTTGCCGAGTGGAGGAATGGACCAGGAACAGACCCTGAATCCGCTCGGTACAAGTTTCTCATGCAACGCCGCGGTGCCGGTAGAATTGAGGCGGATCTCAGACCTCTAGCGCCACCCCCAGTTGATCCCGCTTTACTCGTGGAAGAAGAGGAGACAGGAGAGAATGCTTGGCGCTCCGGCATCACTAGGGACGATCCGGTTTTCAAAGCTCAGTTTGCGGCGCAGTTCCCCCCATACAGAGAGTCCGAGTCGACCTACCCTAGACTGGTTGAAGGCAAAATTATTTTGACATCAGAGCCCAGCGAGGAGCAGAAAGCATTGAAGGAGAAGAACTCCAAGCGTGACAAGGTAGTTCCGGTGTCTTTTGATGACTCCCAGTTGTTGCTTGCGCGCTGGGATTATGCCCCTCGAGTAGACGCCGACCAGTCGCAGTGGCGGCGCTCCTTTGAGTCTTGGCTACAGAGAGCGCTTGACTCATCTCGCGTGGTAGATGTCAATCGCGACGCATTTTTCACCGGGCAGGCTTTGCCAGACGGTACACACGAGATGTACAAACCAAACTGGTCGTATGATTGGACTTGGCCTGACCCCACCGACGAAGAAGGACGTCTGCATCAACATGAGACTAGCCAGGGATATGTTGACAATAGGCTGGCCCGGATCAAAGAAGATAGGGAAGTGGAAGCACGTCTAGCTCATGAGCGCTGGCTAGCCGACGTCGAGTTCTACAAGCGTTACCCGAAGCCCGGAGAGACGAGACAAGATTTGTACCTGCGTCCAGTCGAAGACAGCGATGTTGAGCAGCTCGCGCGCATTTTTAGCTGGTTTTCCGAAAATTCCCCAATGAGCATAGATATCGGGGTCATAAATGAGGAAATCGTCCGGAACCGCATTGCAGATATCAAGAAATACCGACTGCCATTCATCGTGGCCGTGGAACGTCCTACGCCGGGCGAGGATGCAGATACCCCCAGCAAGATCCTGGGATTTGCGCTTGCCATCGACCATGACGGACCGTGGACTACAGGCCAGTTCGCGGTCAAGCTCGAGTTCTATATGATGCCAAGGGAGCAACAGCACGGGGTCGGAACCTGCCTGATGGACAAAATGCTCTCGGTATTGGACGACAGGTACGTACCCAAACGTGGATACCATTTCCGCTGCTCGCAGGAGGACGACAAGGCCTACCGTCCGGGCGGTCTGCGTGACATGGCTCGAGTCATCGTGACATGCAGTTTCCCTTGGTCGGAGCGTGATTGTTACCAGTACATCCGCACCTGGCTCCAGCGGAAGTGGGATTTCACCGAGCAAGGCCACCTGCGTGGGACACGCTTGAAGTTCGATAGCCAGTGAGTACCATACAGCGTCAATCTGATATGATAGTGTTACTGACCCAAGGGGTACAAACCAGTCTTGATGTGATCTATTTGGTTCGCAATCTGGGCTGAAATGATCATTGTCGACATTGCGAGTCGCCATATTTCGCCGACCAACAAACCTCTCTCGTGGACTGGCTCCGCTTGTGAGGTGTCAGTCTCTTTTGTCTTTTCATATCTAATCAACAGACCCATACTCTTTATCACTTGCCATATGACTTGCCCCCCAGGCTGATGCTCCCCTTGTCCTTTGATGGTATTACCAGCTCCTTCCTGGACTAGAAGGCTGGATCAATTTGTTGTTGCCACAGTACGCGGTCAGAAGCAAAAATCTCAGACAAAACACAGAATGGATGCTAATATGTGGGAAATTGAAAATATTGCGATCCAGAGCCTACCTCTATCATCGCAGGCTCCGAGGTTCCGTAGAGAAGCTTAGATCAGAGTCAATTGTATGCCCACCAGCCTCTGTAACCAATAACCAAAGAATTGTATACTGTGGTAGGAAGCAGACAGCCGAACAGACCCAATCACTAACACCCCAGAAAAGCGGAAACACTTTCTGCCGGTATTGGACGTCTCACCGCCTCGGAAGTTTCAACTTTTTTTCCATTCCCGCATTCCACTGGTTCCTGGCCGATTTGACTGGTGAGAAACAAAAAAAAGTTGGGGGCTTGAGATTTCACTCTTTTCCGATCATTACATCCTCCTACGCGGATTTCTTCACTAATCTTACCAATAAGATTGGAATCGGACAATTTGGAACCACAAGGAACCTTTCAACGCTTCTGAATAATAACCCGAAGAAAAGATGGCTCCCAAACGGAAGGTGGATGACGACTTCGTCATGACGTTGTCCGACGACGAGAACGACACGCCCAATCAGCTTGACGAGGAAGGTGATAACGACGAATTTGGCTCGAAGAGGACCGACGCTGCGACGAAAAAGCGCAAGAGGGAGGAGCCGGCCGATACCAAGAACAAGAAGGTGAAGCAGCAGCAACAGCAGGAGAACAAGAAGCAGGCCAACAAGTCGTCGAAGAAAGGCTCGAAGCAGGCTGCGCAACTGGAGCCGGAAGAGGAGGACGGCGAAGAGGACAGCGAAGATGAGGAGGCCGATGCCGCTGAGGATGATGGGGCCCTGAACCCTGACTTCGAATTCGATGTGGGAGGGGTTGCGAATGAGGTGACCGAGTTCGATGGGTGGGCGCAGAATGTGCCTGACGAGGAGACGGGCAGAAAGGGCGACAAGAAGGCGGTTGACATTGATGAGATCATTGAGAGGCGGCAGGCAAAGAAAGAGGCTGCGGCGAAGAAAAAGCAGAAGAGGCAGCAGGTGGCTGAGGAGGATGATAGTGGAGATGAGTCGGATGGGGGCATGTCCGTTGATTTCGGCGATGATGAGCTCATGGCGGAGGATGGCTTCGGCATGGGCGCTGATGGTGAGGATGAGAGTGGAAATGAAAATGCGGACGAGGACTCAGAAGAGGAGGTCGAGGAGGACGACGAAGAGGCTAACGAGGATGATGAGGATGAGGACGAAGATGAGGAAGCTGCTTCCGACGACGACTCCGTCGCTACTCCTGTCGCGCACCCTGACGATGTGGGCGCTGACGAGGAATCTGATGCGGAGAGCGAAGTTGACGCTGAAGAAGCAGCCAAACGCAAGGCATTCTTCGCCCCCGAGGAGAAGACTGAGACCTCTGCTGTCAACGCGAAACGATCCTTCCAGGATTTCAACCTGTCGCGACCTATCCTTCGTGGTCTGGCTGCGGTCAACTTCTCCAACCCGACCCCCATCCAGCAGAAGACCATCCCCGTTGCGCTTCTCGGAAAGGATATCGTTGGCAGTGCCGTTACTGGTTCCGGTAAGACGGCTGCCTTCGTCGTTCCCATTCTCGAACGTCTGCTCTTCCGTCCGCGCAAGGTCCCTACCAGCCGTGTCGCGATTCTGATGCCCACTCGCGAGTTGGCAGTCCAGTGTTATAATGTGGCCACCAAGCTGGCCACTTACACCGATATCACCTTTTGTCAGTTGGTTGGTGGTTTCAGCCTGCGTGAGCAGGAGAACATTCTCAAGAAGCGGCCCGACGTGATTATTGCCACCCCGGGTCGTTTCATCGATCATATGCGCAACTCGCCTAGTTTCACGGTTGATACACTCGAGATTTTGGTGCTCGATGAAGCCGACCGCATGCTCGAGGACGGTTTCGCTGATGAACTGAACGAGATCTTGACCACTATCCCCAAGTCCCGCCAAACCATGCTCTTCTCCGCTACGATGACCGACACCGTCGACAAGCTTATCCGCGTCGGTCTGAACCGTCCCGTGCGCCTGATGGTCGATTCGAAGAAGAACACGGCCTTGACGCTGACCCAGGAATTCGTGCGTCTCCGCCCTGGTCGGGAAGACAAGCGCTTGGGTTACCTGCTGTATCTGTGCAAGGAAATCTACACCGGACGAGTGATCGTCTTCTTCCGCCAAAAGAAAGAGGCCCACCGCGTCCGCATTGTTTTCAGTCTGCTTGGGTTGAAGGCTGCCGAGCTTCACGGTAGCATGAGCCAAGAACAGGTATGTCCGAATTTATCCTACGACTTATGAGCACGAGCTAACCGCCGTTCTGCAGCGTATCAAAAGCGTGGAGAGCTTCCGTGACGGCAAGGCTGCCTTCCTCCTGGCCACCGACCTGGCGTCTCGTGGTCTGGATATCAAGGGAGTGGAAACGGTCATCAACTACGAAGCTCCGCAAAGTCACGAGATCTATCTTCACCGTGTCGGTCGTACCGCGCGTGCCGGTCGCTCGGGTCGGGCCTGCACGATTGCGGCCGAGCCAGACCGCAAGGTGGTGAAGGCCGCCGTCAAGGCCGGCAAGGCGCAAGGTGCCAAGATCGCCAGTCGAGTGATTGACCCTGCGGTTGCGGATTCATGGGCGGCGAAGGCCGAAGGATTAGCCGATGAGATTGAGGAAGTTCTGGAAGAGGAGAAAGTGGAAAAGCAGCTGGCACAAGCTGAGATGCAGGTAACCAAGGGAGAGAATCTGATCAAGCACGAGGCCGAGATCAAGTCCCGGCCCAAGCGGACGTGGTTCGAAACCGAGAAAGACAAGCGCGCATCTCGCAAGCTGGGCGCAGAGGCATTGAACGGACCCGGTCAGTCGAAGAAGGAGAAGGTGAAGCTGAGCAACAAGGACAAGAAGAAATTGGATGACTCCAGACAGCGCTTGGAGGGCAATGCCGGCTGGAAGAAGGGCAAGAGCATGCGAGAGTCGCAAAAGAATGGGAGAGTCCCGACTGAGAAGAAGGGCAAGAAGGGGAAAAAATGAGGGTGGTGATGATGATGATGACGATTGAAGCCTGTTGAGTGTACTTAGTGTATATACCTTTTTCTCTTTTCTCTCTCCATCGCCAACTACTAGATGTGTGCCAATGATTCCTGGCTATTTTCTTCTTCCTCCGACCTTACTCCTGACTGACTGTATCGCACTTCAGAGGAGACTCATTTTCCAAACCGAGTATATCAACGGGCAGCGTCGGCTATCCGCGGGGGTGGAATCTGATGAGGAGGAAGGGAGAGTTGACCGCCTCCGGTCATCGGCGTGCCGGTTCCCCCTCCCCCAGCCCAGACTTACCGGAGCGGGAGACTCACAGCTTTGCTTTCCCGGTCGGGGGGTTGCTAATCACTGCACTGTGATTGAAGAAGGACTGACGGTCCAGGGGTAGTGTACATGAGGAAGAATAGTAGACACAAGGTCGTCAATGCGCAGGGTGAGTTTCATCGGCACGTGCAGCTTGCATCCATGATGTCTGCAGTGGATGTTGTTGTTGGATGATGTCTGTCGAGGGAGATGGCGGTTATCCTATCAGACCTCGCCCCGCCATCCGCTGTCGGCGCCGTACAGTAAAAAAAATCAATGATGGAGCGTCATCCAAAGAAATTCCAACTTGACTCACTCCGTCGCCGCTTTCTTATAACTAACTACCTAGTACTCTCGCCCTTCCTATTTCTTTCTTCTTACACTCTCTCTTTCAAACAACCACCCAACCCGCTCTGTCTACTTCCTCTTCACGTGGCTATTCCTCCATTCCCCAAATCCTCTTTTCCTCTACTCCAATCAACCCCAGCTTTGTCTCATCCTCAATTCCCCTCCCCACCGTCTTTCCTCCCTCTTCCCCGCTGCGGATCCCCCCTTCCCCCTCCGCTCGCTCTCTCGCCCACCATGCCCATGTAAGCTCCCATTGCCGTTCCTCCTTCATATTTAGTGCTCTGTCAGACGTCAGAGCATGTGGTTGATCAATTTCCGTCCCAGGCTCAAAGATCCCTCGAAGAAATACAAGCGGTTTCAGCCGATCCACCTTCCTGACCGCCAATGGCCCAACAAGGTCATCGATAACCCTCCCCGCTGGCTGGCCACGGATTTGAGAGATGGTAACCAGAGCTTGCCCGACCCCATGGTATGACTTTACCCCTCCCTTCGCTTTCAGTAGACTGGTTCCTCTCTGGGGTACAATCGATTGCCACCCGAGCAGACTAACATGTGTCCTCCATGACAGGATGGGGAACAAAAACTCCGCTTCTTCAAGATGCTCCGCGACATCGGTTACAAGGAAATCGAAGTCTCATTCCCCTCTGCCTCCCAAACTGACTTCGACTTTACCCGTCGCCTGGTCGAAACTCCTGGCCTGGTTCCCGATGATGTATGGCTGCAAGTCCTGTCCCCGTGTCGCGAGGACCTGATCCGGCGCACGGTAGATTCCCTCAAGGGAGCCAAGAAGGCGATCCTGCACATCTACCTGGCTACAAGTCCGTGTTTCCGGCGTATCGTCTTCAATATGGACAAGGAGAAGAGCTTGGAGATGGCCGTCCGCTGCACCAAGTATGCGCGGTCGATCACCAAGGATGACCCTGAGATGGCTGGTACAGAATGGCACTTCGAGTTCTCGCCGGAGACTTTCTCGGATACCGAGCCCGAGTTCGCCGCACAGGTATGCGAGGCCGTCAAGGCCGCCTGGGAGCCCACGGAGAAGGACCCTATCATTTTCAACCTGCCCGCCACGGTTGAGATGTCGACCCCCAATGTCTTCGCCGACCAGGTCGAGTTCTTCTGCCGCAACGTCTCTGAGCGCGAGAAGTACGTTGTCTCCGTTCACCCCCACAACGACCGCGGTTGCGCCGTCGCCGCCGCCGAGTTGGCCCAGATGGCTGGCGCACAGCGTGTCGAGGGTACCCTGTTCGGTAACGGTGAGCGCACTGGAAACGTTGACCTGGTCACTCTGGCCCTCAACCTGTATACGCAAGGTGTCTCGCCCAAGGTCGACTTCTCCGATATCAACTCGGTCATCAAGGTCGTCGAGGAGAGCAACAAGATTCCCGTGAACGAGAGATGGCCCTACGGTGGGCAGCTGGTGGTGTGCGCTTTCAGCGGCAGTCACCAGGATGCGATCAAGAAGGGGTTCAAACTTCGCGAGGAGGCGGGCGCCAACGACGACACGAAATGGGAGATCCCCTACTTGCCCCTGGACCCGCAGGACATCGGCCGGACCTACGAGGCCGTTATCCGTGTCAACTCGCAGAGCGGCAAAGGTGGTGCCGCTTGGGTCATCCTGCGCAGCCTGGAGCTGGATCTCCCGCGCGCTCTGCAGGTGGAGTTTAGCAAGATCGTGCAGCGCAAGACCGAAGATGTCAGCCGCGAGCTACTGCCCAGCGAAGTGGTGGCTCTGTTCGAGGAAGCCTACCACCTCAAGTCCAACCCGCGCTTCACGCTGATCGACTACAACATCACGACGGACCGGTCGACCTCCCCCGCGCCTCCAGAGCCCGGCAAAGCTCTTAACACCAAGAACCTCAAGCGTCGCTTCACGGGTATCATCGAGATCGACAGCGTTCAGCACGGCATCACCGGTGTTGGCCCCGGTGCCATCTCCTCGCTGGCCAACGCGCTGGCCACCCTGGGCATCGACCTCGATGTTGTCGACTACAAGGAACATGCCATTGGTCTGGGTCGCGACGTAAAGGCTGCCACCTACATCCAATGTACTGCCGCCGGCAGCAAGGAGACCGTCTGGGGTGTTGGCATTCACCAGGATGTTGTCCAAGCCAGTTTGATTGCTCTCCTCAGCGCCGCCAGCTCTGTAAGTCCTTCCGTCTACCCTCTCCCTCCCCTGCCCCTTCTCCAATCGAAAACTTAGGTTACTAATCATGAATCGCAAAAAAACAGTTCCTCACTAGCCGCGCCGGCTCTCCCGCCCCATTCCGCCCTATCCGTTCCAACACTCTTACAGACGAGGACCTCGAAGCCCTGGAAACCCTCGCCGGCAGCTCCAAGCCCAAAGTCGATTTGGCCAGCCTCACCAAGCAAGCCGAGAGCCAGTGATTGGCTGTCTCTCGTCAACAGAGAACAAGTCTTGCTTGTCTATTTTCAAACATCACAAAACGTTTTTCGGTCTTGGGAGCATCTTTCTTGTTTTATAATGTCTAGGGGCGGGTCCTGAGAGGAATATTCTCTTCTCTTTTTTTCTTTTTTCTTTTTTTCCCTTTTTTCTATATTACACGAATGTGAATGAAATGGTTTGAGGAATTTTGTAATGTTCTCCGTGAGGAGCTGAGAGAAGGGGGGGAAGGAGAAAGAGACAGAGAAAGCATGTGCGTGTGTTGCCACTAAAAGTGCTGGGTGGAGAATTTCGGGGGCTAGTATTGTAAAGCAGATTCGCATGATACTATCTTGCCAATATACGTTTCGAACCTTTTCAGAGTACGATGCAAACATCCCAAGTGTAAACACGCTGTCTGGTTGAATAACTGGCGGCTTCGAACTAGGTTGAAGATCTATTGGCCTTGTACAACCTGTGAAAGACCAATCCAACTAATCACTGTCAAAAGTTTGGGGACCGGAAGGGCGGATCGAATTAGAGAGGCTTGGATGGTGTGAATGTCTACGGATCTCCGATCTTCTATGGGCTACAGCCAAGGCTCTGCTCAGCAACAGGAGGTAAGATGCTCATGGTCAACAGGATAATGAAGGATTCTTTCGAAGCTAATATAGGAGGATGTGGTGGCTGCCTATCAATGCTATAACATCCGAGCACGTCTTTCTATATCAGGGAAGTAGTGTCATAGGCCGGGGCGGGGCCCAACAAGAAAAGAAGAAGAGGGGTATGCTATGTACAGAACAATGCATGTCGTTCGTCATGGGGCAGGAGTTGCGGGGGAAGCAAGGGGGCGAGCACATATATTTGTCAAACTGGAGGCAATAAAGCAATATAGAGGTTTTATGAGAAAAGAATAAAGCCAATCGGAGTAGAGAGAAGAAGGGAAAGAAAGAGAGGGATGAGGCTTCATGATGGTGGGCAGGCTATGCAAAATGGAAAATGGAAAACGTGAAGAGGTGCCATGAAGGTGCTGCAAGTCGGTCAACAAGACACATACAGAGCCGGTTCGGCAAAATAGGCCTCGCAGCCTCGTCCAAACAGACTATTATGTACAGTACAGTAACTGCCGATTCGCACTCAACTAACGTTGCTGATAGGGTGTCCCTTCGTGACTCGGAGCGTCGTCAAATCCCAGGGTGGATTGATAAATTAATGCTTCTTGTGGCCAGTCCCCGGAGCTGCGATCTAATGTGTCGGAAACGGGCTTTCGGTTGTATGAGTCGGACCGCGCAGGGAAGTTCCCACTTGCTTGCTGCGGCTGTGGTCCTGGGCCACCTCGATAGGGAAGAGTCTCGGCCATCATAGAAGCCCCTGGACCCGCCTGAGTAGACGAGCCGGCACCTGTCGTGTGGGTGAAGTCTCCGAATTCGAAGCCGAAGTCGGGATGACCAATGGCTGAGGGAAGCTCGGCCCCTGTTACGGCAGTAACTCCATTCGTCGAAGCGGTCGTCGGTCGCGAGGGTTCAGAAATCTGTGGAACAGACGCTATACCTTCAGATGCAGTGCCGGTAGGGCTGCCAATGCCAGGTTCCTGCATGCCAGAATACGAGTGTATGGATGCTTCAGAATGCTCGACAAGAACCGGAGCGGGCGACCGGGGTAAGGGCTCGGTATCCGGTACAACAGTAGATCTGCGGGTGCTGTTGCCCATAGTGCTGCCAGGTTTCGAACTTCGACTCATCCGGTGTTGGGGTGCCGCGAAGGGGTTTTCAGAGCCTTCCATGTCACGAATGCTGAATTGGGCGATCGTTCGCAGTTTTCGGGTAACCCACGAAGCCAGCACCTTACCGCGTTGCTTCTCTCCAAGACGAGATCTAGGAAAGTCTCCGTGGGAAACGAAGGCAACAATATCTGCAACGACTTGGTGCTCGTTGAGGATGGCATCAACAATAACAGGAACAAGTGATGCCAAATAAGCCTTTCTTGTTACCTCGACTACAACCACAATGAGGCCACCCGCTTGGAAAACGGCACTGATGGTGTTAATTAGCACGCGCACACGCAGCAGGGAAGTTTCCGTTGATCACTTACCACCCTCCGGTCACAATATTGCGGTGACATCTCTCCACCGACGACTCGATATCCATCGGGAAGTGGTTCAATCCGTTAACCTCAAAAGTCTCGCCGATTCCACCAAGGACGAAGAGAACTTGCATCTCAACCGGTTGGCCATTAGGACCAATTGGCCTTGTAACTGTGTGGAGGAAGCCCAGGTCTCCCGTCCGAACGTACGCCACGTTGGGGTCTCCATCCACTACCCGTCCGTTGAAGCGCTCCATATCAAAATCCTGCCTAGAACCATAGAAGGCTTTGGCACAGGCATCTGATTGAATCCAAATCTCACCATACTCTCCCACATGCGACAAGGTACATGTCTCCGGGTTCACAATCGCTATTTGTGTATTGACTGGCACCATACCCGAGTCTTGTAGAACAAGAGCGGTGGGATCAGTATCCGGGTCGACCGGATAAACAAGTCCCCTACGCAGAGAGCGCAGATCGAGCCATAATTCCACAGGCTCAATGCACATATACGACCTCGTAACTACCATAGGGTTCAAGACGTGGGAGTAGACGATGTTGATCGCGGTGCGGTCGAGACTGGTAGACGCGAAATGGAGACGCACTTTTTGGTCTATAGTACTATTAGTAAGGTTTTTCACAAATAGCAGAGAGAGGCGCACAAATATCGACTCGCGGTCGTCCTTCTGCAGATATCATCAGGTTTTTCAGCTCTTGCAGCTGGAAACCCTTACCAGCCATGGCGCTCATTGCATAATCTAACATCTGGGCTGTGGCATATGTGTCCTTGATTTTGTACCGGGAGAGGGTGACGAAAAGAGTCATAGGATTCTGGGCGAAATCGACTGGCGAAACTAGATACGTAGGCGCACCTGCAAAGGCCAATCAACACACGTAATTGCCCGTCAGGGTTTATAAGCTTGACTTACCGACATAAATACCCATAAGACAGGTATGAAGGAATCCGAGTCCTAGAGTGCTTCGTACGCTTCCCAAGACCGGCCTCATGCTAGTCATTTGACATGTCTCCTTCTGGACTTTACACATGCCCATAATAGTGTCATGACCGATCTGGACCGAAATTCTCCTTTGGTCAGGAGTCCAATAAGTCCAAACCATGGCTGCCTGACTGCTTTGTTTCCAGGTTTCTTTCGCGGTAAAGCCAAGATCTCTACATCCATGAGACTGTTTAGGAGGCTTCGTGGTGTTGTAAATGGCCGGGACCCCAATTCGTAGGACTTGCGCAGATTGCTTGATATGCTGAGATACCAGCTTCTGCCTCAGGACATGGTCAACATCACTGTTGACAATGATCGCCTTGACTCGGAAGTCATTGATAACATGGAGGAATGCAGGAGCATCTTCAGAAAGACGATTCTGATCAATGGGAGCAAGAGGAACTGCCACCGCGCCCAAGCAGAGACAGGCATGGACTGCATAGACATACTCTTCCGAATGGGTGTACATCAAGATCAAATGATCGCCAGGTCGAACCTTGACCTTGTTCTTCAAGTACATGGCTACAGCAGCAACCTTCAGATCGAATTTCTTCCAGGTGATGCCTTTACCTTCCTTTCCACGACCATCAATGGAACAATAAGCGAGTTCCTCGGCTTGACGAGAAACACGCCATTGAAGAAGATCCACGATGCTAGAAAAGTTGTTCAGTGGTGTAGACGTACGATCATCCATGACGACGTCACGATAGTCAACTCCTGAGTATTGCTTTTCCTGCATTGCAAGCATCTCTTGCCTTGACATAAGTGCAAGTGGAGACCAGATACCGCCGACGGGATCGACTCCGATCGGCAGATTCAAGACTGACCGCTCAACGCCGAACTTGACATGAACACAAGGTAACGATCCATTGTCGAATTCTTTGCGGCAGAGCATGTTTCCAATTTCGCGTCTTCCATTCTTGGTCACACGAGGGAGTGTATTGGGGGCTGTCAATAGAACACAGTAGACGCGCAGATGGTGCTCCTGGTAAAGGATTTCCATACATCTCTCAGCCAGAGACTCTAAGAGAACTGAATCCAGCTGCCGTGGAGGACCACCTGAAGTTGTTGGGGCTGTCGAAGCTGCGTATGATTCTAATACGACTATCGGAAGATGTTCCTCATTGACGAAAACATCGAAAGCTGTGCAGTCATGGATCTTCGGGATGTTCTTCAGAATGCTGACAATCAAATGTTGGACAAAGAAGTACCGGTGCTCAACGATCTCCTGTCCATGTTCTACCCATTCCACCTTCTGTCGAAGCCGATCTTCGTAAAGGCCTAGGACGAAAACCTTTCCCTCAATTATACAGCCAAGGAGACCTGTTCGAAGGAACTCCGGCTCAACTAAAACAGGTGTGGGGTTACCTTCCTCAAATTTGTATGGCCGTGCATGGAAGATAGCTTCCGTATGCTTCGGCAATGCCCAAAAGCCTCCTGAAAGAGAAGGCGAGTCAACCCAGATCTCGCCAACCACATTTGGGGTGCATAGCAAATTGGTTTCGGGATCAACCACCGACACTGTAGCATCGGGGATAGGATAGCCGAACGAGCCAACTCTTACAGCGTGAGGCATAGTGGGCGCAAACTTCTTCGCCTCTTCGCCCATGGCTAGAACCACGACCTCGTTGCTCTTCAGAGCCTCCTTGTCTAATAGGACCTCGAGCATTTCAGTCTTTCCTTGTTCTTGCGAGGCAGGAGCGGGAGCAGAAGAGCCACCACCCAAAAGACTGCTACCAAACCCGCTATTGGTCTCAGTCTTTTCCGATTTCTTCTCTTCCTTCCTGAACCCCTCGCGCTGGCTGGGGTCCATCTCATGCGTCAGAGGGCAGCCCATGCGTTCTTCGCCACCCAGCCAATCCCGCACACTAATGACCATGCCACCGTGTTCAGGAAGACAAAGCATTGGAGCGACAATTTCTCGAGCCCTGGGATTGCGCATGGGCCTAAGCCATCGGTCTGCTAGAATTTCATGAAATTCAGGATCGACCGTGAGCGAATCGATTAGACAGAGCTTCACCGATCCGAAATTGGGTTCAGAATTCTTCTTGTAATGTCGCGTGGCCATTGGATCTTGCTGGTAGTTGTAGGCTGCGATTTTCAAGCCGGGGTAGTCAGCGGCCATAAGAGTTGCCCTGTATTTAGTGATCAAGTGAGCATAAAGACCAGGTGTCTCTACGGCCCGGTCTTCAAGCCAGACAGTGGTGTGGCCCCCGTACACAGTAAGGAGGACGCCTAAAATCATTCCAATGCCTTGTCTGGGATCCAAGTAGCTGATAAGAGTCTCTCCACGTTGTTTCGCTGCGCTCGAAGATGCAGGCACCGTCGAAACTATTGCACCGAGACAAGCCATCTGATGCATAATCGTTCGATGGCTCATGACAACACCACGCAGATCTCCGGTAGGGGCCCTTGAAAATTCAATGTAAGCCAGATCGGGAACCACGAGCGGTGGGGTATCGTCTTTCTTCTTTGGGTGGTAGCTGCCAAACTCGTTCGTCTTCCACCATTCTACCCCTCTAGGCCAATTCAACTTTTGGGTTGTGATGTCTCTTTGGAAGCTCTTGAGGTTATTCTCCGTAGTTAGAGCGAGATGTGCTTGCGTGGAAGTCAAGATCAGGTTGAGGCTTTGATAGTCCTCGAGACTGTTTATCGGGACAGCGACAACTCCGGCGATGAAACATCCCATCAGGGCCACAGCAAACTCAATGATCTCGGAGTCGCGGTAGATCAAAGCCACGCGATCACCGCGATAGAGATTGCTCTTGTCTCGAATAACCTGCGCCACCTTCTCCGCGCGACTAGCAAGTTTGTCCCAAGTGATCGAGGCAATCTCCTTTCCTTTCTGGTCTAGGACCCAATAAGCAGGCTGCTTCGCATGCACTCGAGCACGATGCCGGAGAACCGCCGGGATGTTTTCGAAATTAGACATGGGGGTGTTCTTGTCGTGGGGGTCATGAACAGCAAATGGGATGTCCCGAGGTTCCAACGGTAGTAGGTGATCAAGTGCCGGTCCGTGAGGAAGTTCAGAAGCAGGAATCAATGGCGGTGCCATATTTGCCGTAGGGGAAAATGTGTCTGATTGGGAATAGCGATGAAAGCCACCACCGTAACTGTCTCTATAATCGTCCTGTTGCTGGCCAGCAAAATCGGAGAAGTACCCCTGCTGAGAGTCGAGCATGGTCGACTGTCGCGTACCAGTGCCAGATGGCATATCGTAGGCCCCGACAGGCTCTTCGTAATGATCGTGCGGAGGGCCCGGATTGAATGCATAGTTCTGACTTAAAAGGGTTGCCGTCCTCGAATTCTCTTGTAGCGGCGGCGCAGGCTGTGCCTTCGGAAGGAAAAGAGAATCATAAGAAGCGGCTGACGGGGCTCTGTCGCCAGGTAATAACATGCTGTCTCGTTCGTATGAACCCTGCGTCTCGCCACTTATCCTCCGATCATATCCGAAGCCCCCGTTCTGAAAACTATCGCGGCCGTTCGAGAAGGAATCCGACGGCCCACCATGGCTTGTGGAATCGGCCGTAGGGGGTCTGACGTTGAGGATAGCCGGAGGCGGGTGAGTTGAACTGGTGAATGATGAGGGAGCATTTCCGGATGTAGGAGTATTGAGGTCTAGTGCCATATTAGGCCCGAAAAACTGCGAGAGGAGTAATGTGCGCCGTTTCTGATATCTGCGATAAAATTAGTTCATGATCAAAGTTGATGGTCTGCCACAAAACGCGTGTCCTGGGATTCTGAATAGATGCTAATGATGTTTGTCCTGAGGGGGGCATTATCCGCGTACACTGCCCGATTTTACGGCACCAACAGGATGCTTACCCTTTCTCGGTGATATCACCTTCCTAATGGTACAGAGCAAGAGCAAGTCAGCCAAAGAAATCCCAGCACGATAACCAGGTCCTAGATGGGCAGAAAGCAATGGTGACCGTCTCGTACCTCCAATTCCTTGTCAAGGTCGCGCAGAGCGGACTGCAGCTCAGGATTCTCGTCCGCCATGATCACAGAAGCGCTGAAGGGGGACAAATCGAGGGGCTGTCATTCGAGGGCGCGTACGACTGGGCGTGAACGAAGAAAGATGCTCTCATCGCAGGGTGTCTGAGTTGGCAATACAGGCACTGGGGACAGATGGGGAGAAAAGGAGAAGTCCCCAATAAATGCGGCCTCTTGCGACCGAGGAGAAGTAGTTTGAATGGGGGGGTGTGGAGGAGGGGAAGGGAGGGGGATTCTCTCACGTTCCTCGGAGTGTCTCGCTTTCTCCGCGCCCGAAGAGCCACAAAGAGCCACAACGTCACCTGCCGAGTGGGCTTCAATTAGGTGGGAGTAGGGCCTGTGAGGCGGGCCGCAGACGCACAATTGGCACAATTGGCACAGTTGGCACAATTGGCACAGTTGGCACAATTGGCACCGCCACACCGCGGGATGATGGACGAGGATCTGGGGATGATGTTAAATTAAGGTACTGTACAGTACAATTGAACATACAGCCAACTACGTCCTACTACATCCTATGTAAGTGACTGGCGGCTCGTTCCATTCTAGTGGTAGTAACTGCGCTTAACGCTCGTCTTCAGTCACCACGACGACCATAGATGACCCCTGAAAGAACAAATTATCTTGTGTTTCCAGTGACAGGTACGCGTTCTTGTAACAGCCAATCCTCATGTCCGTCCCTCGGTGGTGTGGGAGGGATTTCTGCATGTTTTGACTCTCACCGGCTTTTCCGCTACCCGGTGCGGGATGTTCCCCTTTCCACTTATTCACATTGTTTGTTGGGGAGTTGACCTTCCCTTGCCAGACGGTAGACCTTGTACCAACAATAAAATTACTTTTGTTTAACTGGGAACAAAATTCCGCAGCTACCTATGGTACTCTCTTTCGTTTAAATCTATACTTTTTCTATCTTTGAACATTATTCTACTCTAGCTCAGGTGGAGTCAATGCATGCACCTTGGCGCCGAGATCCACCTGGGGAGAACAATCGACTGATGAGAATAATAACCACCCCCTGGTGGTATTGAATCAATCCGATGCCGATTGTGCTGTGTCAACCTGTCACAAGAGTTTCCTCTGGGAAATTTGCGGGAAGACCAACCCTGCTCATTTCTACCTTGAACCTACCATCCAGCTTAAGTCTGGAAGCGGTTCAGAACACAAACTCATGCCTTGAATGAATTCGCTACGAAATGCTTTCTGAATCCAGGGCTGATTACGAGGCACTCGTTTTCGTTGACGCGCTTTGGGATCGTCTTCATCACCTTCTTGCGCAATGCTATTTTTGAAGTCTAGTCCAGCCTAGTCTGAGCAAGCCAGTCAGCATCAGCATCAAATGGAGTCCAGCTGGTGTTAGTATAACAGTGACTCTCGGATGAAAAGGCGCCTTGACGACTGAAGTCCTCCACGCAGAGTTCAGAGCTCGTAGGACTATTGGTCACCTGTTATTTACACCTCGGTGGCTTCGAATCAGAGATCGCCTGCTTATGAATTCGCTTCGCGTTAACCAGGATTTGAATGGGGTACATCAAGACACCGCTCATTAGGGCGTGATGATGAGTCTTCCCTCGATATGCTCAGTATTCTAGTGATGAAGTCGAGATCCGCCTCATTGAGTTTGGCGGGCCAATCACCAGGGAAACTACTTGTAGAACGGAACTAGAGTCCGACCATGCCCTTATGACAAACTAATCCCCAAGTGTCTACATGGTTCGCCTATCTGCTACGATCACTGCGATACGTGCGATGAAAGTCTACTCCGATCAGATGAGCAGAGGGCCCTACCCTGTTCACCAGGGCATAGAGATAGGCATGATCGTCCTGCTGCTCCAAGTGAGAGGAGGCTATCGGTTCGATGGCATGAATTCCATGCTCGTAATGCGACCGAGCACAGACCTACTGCTATCGAGCGAGTGCTGGGGTCCTTCAATAACGACATAAAAGAATTCTGCTTTTTGCGAGATCGCTTGAAGGGTTGTGCTCAAAGACTCGCTCGCTCCGGCTCTGACCATACGTGGATGCAGGTCATTGTGACTCTTGTAGCGGGAATGAATAATCGTGGTCGTTGATCGCAATCCTCATCCAATCATTCGATATCTGTCCAGTCAATTCGGCAGGAGATCTGTTAATTGGCGTGGGTGTTGCTTCTCCAATCTTGAAGACATCGTTTTGAGCTATCGAAGGTAAAATGAACTTCGCAGACAAGTGTTCCATCCTAGAATCAAGGACAATCGATTCGTTGAGGGTGCCGTGCTATACTTATGATCCTAAAATCAAGGCCAGATACCCCACAAGCGGTCTTTGGCTTGTCTCAAATCGATCGTCTAAAGCAACGAGCGCATGCTGCTGCTGATGTTGACCGATAGTGAAGGACTCTGTCTCAAACGATTGGCTCAAGACTGTTATTTCGAGCGTGTACATAGTAGAACTCGGTAATCAGGCTTGAGCGGCTGTGAAGTGATGGGCTAGTATCGATGGCCTTTCCTCCAGCAAAATACAGTCTAGATCATCGAGGATAGTTCGTAACATGCCGGTGGGTTGAAAGCGGAGTCAGACGTGGTTATCTACCGGGTCATCATGGGCTAATCCTGATCAGGGTTGGTGCACCGGAGCAGACCCGTTAGTGCTCAGTCACATGACATGACCGGCACCATTGGTGGTCGGCCCTGCCCTAAGCCCACCCACCGCTAAGCGAGTCGCACCTCGAATTTCCGTGGGCTCAGCGACACATTTCAGCCGACCGACTGTATTCGTCGACGTTGCAGGATCACCCAACGACACCGTCCGCCACCCCTTCACGTATCCCTCCCTCGACAACAGGTGCATACGTCGTCCAACATGTCTGAACACGGCGAAGTCGAGGTCGAAAACCCTGCTGCGGCCTTCCAGGTCCTGCCCAAGGATGCTCTTGCCGAGCAGGGCAGCGTGAAGCTGTTCAACAAGTGGAGCTACGAGGATGTTGAGATCCGGGACATCTCCTTGACGTAGGTGCTTCCCATTTCATCGCGATTGTCATTACCACGAAGAGGAGGATCGGATTGGCGCCATGGAGAAAAACAAATTTGCACCAGCCTGTTTGTCGGGTTGGAGGCATCCGTCGATTCGAATCCAAGCATAACACGACGCGGAAGGATTTGCGCAAATGGGGAAAGAAAGAATCTTGATTTAGAATGGATTGGATAAGAGAGGACGGCAAAGGCTCGGAATGAGATGTGCTGACTCGAATTTCACGCAACCAGCGACTACATCCAGATCCGCTCCCCTGTCTACCTTCCTCACTCCGCTGGTCGCTATGCCGCCAAGCGTTTCCGCAAGGCTCAGTGCCCCATCATCGAGCGCCTGACCAACTCCCTCATGATGAACGGCCGCAACAACGGAAAGAAGCTCATGGCTGTCCGCATCGTTGCTCACGCTTTCGAGATCGTATGTTCTACCGAAGCACTACTCCACCGACAGAAAACCGAAATCAGCCTTGGAAGAAGGCACTAACAGTTCGCATTAGATCCACATCATGACCGACCAGAACCCTCTCCAGGTTGCCGTTGATGCCATCGTCAACTGCGGTCCCCGTGAAGACAGCACCCGTATTGGTTCCGCTGGTACCGTCCGTCGCCAGGCCGTCGATGTTTCTCCCCTCCGCCGTGTCAACCAGTCCATCGCTCTCCTGACCATCGGTGCTCGTGAGGCCTCTTTCCGCAACATCAAGAGCATTGCCGAGTGCTTGGCTGAGGAGCTCATCAACGCCGCCAAGGGTAGCTCCAACTCCTACGCCATCAAGAAGAAGGACGAGCTCGAGCGTGTTGCCAAGAGCAACCGGTAAAGTGGGAACTTTGGGCGTATTCTCCGTTTGGTTCTGGTTTTGCGTGTACTGGAGTGGACGGGGGGTTCAATAGGATTCAGTCGATTTGCATGCATCTGCGCGACTGTACATACCTGAAAACAGTCACGGGAGGGAGCGAGATCCTCGAAAATGAGAGAATTGGACGGCTTTCCTTCCACAGTAGTTGAGATGCGATCATGAAGACCTCTGGCTTGTTCGGAGTCAGAACCTACCATTTTTTAACTCTAAACGAAAAGATTTTTTTACCTGTTCTCATGTTCTTTCGGCCATTGTAGTATCTGAACACATCTGATGAACTCCTCAACGACTCTATAATCTGTCTCTATTCATAAAAATCGACTTGCAGGGGTGTGAAAAATGCCACTCTATAGTCGTGCGGCAAGCGCAGCGGCGCCTGATAGACAAATAGACAAAATCTGATGTCGCAGGGACCACTGCAGTTCAATTCCGTCTGTTGTTCCCGCCGCCGTCGCCGCCTTTGGCTGATCGCTTATCGATAGGCCAGAACCCCGTAGCAGGAGAAAAAAAAATGTTCTGGGTCTGTTATCAGCCAGAGCTAACCACCTTCTTCCATCTCCCTCCTCCACCCCCCCCCC